AAAAGAAAAAACTCGACTCAACATATTATCGAAAATATTAAGCGTAACGAGAAGATTGATGTTCTTTACTTCTGGTAAATCTAAAAAATCAAAATCAACACGCTTAGGCCATAAATGAGACTTTGCAGCCAACCAAGAAGGACTGTTCCACTATAAGGAACAATTACTTATCTGCTGAAGACTCATTCCTCTTGATATAATATCAGCGGGATTGGATTCAGTTGGCACATGAAATCAATTTTTTTTTATTAGAAATTTTCTGTATAGTAACGACTCGATTGGATACAAATGTTTTCAAACGACTGGCATCTGCAGGCTACCAAGAAGGACCGTTTCACCATAAGGAACAATTACTCATCTGCTGAGGGCTCATTCCTCTTGATATAATATTAGCGGGATTGGATTCAGTTGGCACATGAAACCAATTTTTTTTTATTAGAAATTTTCTGTATAGTAACGACTCGATTGGATACAAATGTTTTCAAACGACTGGCATCTGCATTTATCCATGCGAGAACTATCGTTGAATCACACCAATAATAAGTGCAATCAATGTTTAATTTGATTGATTCTATAACCTGTTGGCGTAGCTTTGCAGCTAGAAGAGCACCACATAATTCTAGCTGTGGAATAGTAGCTCCAGCTAGAGGAGCAACACGGGACTTGGAACAAGCCCGCTTGACTGAAATATCTCCAAATGAGTTTTTTGACCTGTCATATATAACATCCATAAGCCAGTTGTGACACATCACTAAAAGCATGAATTTGTACATAACAGGCATCCTGTAAAAGAATGTGTCTTGAAATCCTGATCGAGTTCACATGGGAAATATTGTTATAAAATTCATACCACAGTTTGAGTAATTCAGAAGGTAATTCTTGATCCCAGTCAATTCGCAATTGCCATAATTTCTGCAAAATGAGCTTAGCAGTTGTTATAGCTGGTCCAATAAGACCAAGTGGATCAAAGATTTGGGAGATGATAGAAAGTATTCTACGTTTTGTGAAGTTCGAATAAATGGGAACCTTGGTTATAAACTGAAAATT